CCCCAAAACCCCAAAACCCCAAAACCCCAAAACCCCTTAACTTCAATCTGAAGTTGAATTCTTATAAAATCTCCGTTCAAAATTATACTTATTCCTTCCTGTAGAACACATCGTTCAGGGTGTACACCAGGTTCTTCAGAATCTCAGTGTTATCAATAAACTGTATGTGGGCCTTCCGGCCGAGCATAGTGTCGATAGATCCTGGAGGAATCTGGAAATTGACAGATATACGGTGAACTCTTCAGTCAACCAGCTTCTTTATGATGTTGTCAGACATTAGTAGGAGGTTTGATGAAGTAGTGATCTTTTCCATTCTTTCTGATGGTTGTATAAGTGAGCTTTCAACAGGTGAGAAGCCGTCTTGAGGAGAACCAATCAGAGCAACTAAATCAAGACATGAATTTAGGTAAAATCTTATAATGAAATTTTCACTTGGTATTTGGAATTAACCTTGTAAATATTAAGGAAGATATCTTCATGAAATGACCACAATTAGTATAATAAAATTACCTGTATCGAACCATTCTAGTCCTTCCATTTTTGACATTTTATAAAGGGTACAGTTTTTAAAATCTTTTTGATCCTTAATTGTAATCTCCTTTAAAGAAGTACTTTTCTTCATCTTCTCAACCAGCCACATTCCTGCTGTTAATAACTTACTATTTGTTGTTAGATATCCAAGATGAGGTGTAGCCAGTGTCACAAAAGCACTGAGAAGATCCTTATACTTCGCCAGTTTAGGAAGGGCTGCTCTGAAGATGAGACCACCCATGGAATACCCTACTAAGGATATTCGTTCAATTTTGTAATCTTCCATGTAATCTTTGATAGCTTTCTTAACTTCCTTTGCAACTATTTTGCCTAATTTTAGGATAGTCTCATCTGTTTTCTCTCTAAAATTTAGAGGAAGTTCTTACATATCTTTAAGACAGGAATATACCTTCGCTGTAGGATCATTCTCCATGATAGCAGCCTTGAGGTACATTAGGTCTTCATAATGCCCACTATAGCCATGGCAGATGAAGACCAAGTGTCTCTTATCATTCATCTCAATTTCGAACTCAGAGTTTTCATATGATTTCTCAAATTCAATCCTGGGGACTGAAAAGAGCCCTTTTTGGATAATATCTGGATCGTAAATTTCTTGGATCATGACCGCACGGAAGGAGTCCTGGTAAGCTTCGTTAATGAATCAGAGTCCTCTTGATACCTCTTTGGTTAGGTAAGTCTCAAACATTTCTCTGAGATTCTTTGCATTATTTTGACCACCTCTCAAGGTCATCTTCCGTTATAGTTCTCGTTAAAGTGGGGAAGTTCTTTATAACCCTCTTCATTTTCAACATTCTTTTGTAATGTATAAGGTTTTTATAAAGGAAAAATCTCACTGTATCAACTGTGTTGATATCAATGAGATTGAGGTATTTCTTCCAGAGCATTCCGAGGTCAAATGTAATTTTATTTAAATTCCTTCTTAGTCTTCTCAAGAATAGACTCTTTGGTGAAGAACATTCTCTTGAAATCCTTCGTTTTAGTAAGCTCTTCTAGGCTTGAGTCGTTGATATTCTCTATATTGTTATCAGCTTCTAGTACCTGATTGGGAGTAAGCCTCGTGCTTTCTCTTAAGAACTTTTCCAAATTTCTCTTTTACAATAAGAGTCGAAGATTGTTTACTAAATCGAGATCCATTGTTTTTGAACTTGCCCATACTATGGCTAGTCCCAGAGGTAGGCTCTTCGTCACTACTAGAGGTTTCACTCTCATAAAACTTGTCATAATCCACAGTGTACTTTGGCATGATCTTATTGAACTTCTTCATTGCGGTTATGGACTCCTTATGCTTATTTATCCCTGTATATATCCTTATAGCTATCTCTGAGTTTGTTATAGCTCTTTATGAGGAAGCCTCAATATTTGTTTACTACCTTCTGTGTCTGCTTGAAATCCAGAGCCTTCTTCTTTTTAAAGCTTGAGAAGAGATAGCTCTCTATTGAATATTTCACAGTGGAAGTCGATACTTCTGAAAGAGCCTCTTCTAGGACTCCCAGGCTTGCAAGACCAATAAATTTGACTGCTTTTCGAGAACCTAAAGAGTTAAATATTACTGCTTGCTTGTGAGCTCCAGTTTGAGGATGCAACAGTGGATAGAAGTCTCTAAAGCACAAGCATATGGGGCTTGAAACTCCAATTGAAGATACTTGTATGCACCTATAAGTGCGTCTAAACAAATTACGAAAATTTTTACTTCCGATTTTAAATTCTTTCTGATCGACTTCTATAAATGATGGTTTGGACGAGTTGCTAGATAGTTTAGACCAGACTTTCATGGTGATACCTAGTCTTGAACAACTCGATCGGAATATGAAACAGCTTGGCTCTGCAATATATCGGCACTTTGAGATCATCTTGTTTGTAGTAGTCCATCGGCAGGAAAATTTTATGCTGAAATTCCAACTATAAGTATTCATGAAAATTTAGATACCATATTAATTGTTTTATAAGCATTCTCTCTTTCATAGCCAATTCAGAAGGACTCAGTGGTATATTGGTGAGGGTTTTCACTATTTTCATGGTAGTTTTGACAAGTTTTTGGGTCTTTGTTTACATATCTTGCATATGTCTTAATGGTCTGTTGTTCCTTTATCTCTCTGGAAAGTTTTAGATCGCCAAAATATAGCATTAAAGGAAGATAACTTGTGGCAAATGATATTTATAGTTTTTATCAAAATGTTTCTTCGCAAAATGAAATAAATTTCATTGTTCAAAGTTGTATGAAATAATAGAAAGAACTTACTCGAAGATCCAATCTTGCTCTGTGTATATTTGAATTTGAACTTCATAGTATCCTTGCGATATCAGGTCAATGTTCCGGAATATGCCCATGTTCAGGACAACTTCCATTGTGGCTTGTATCATTAATAAATAAATGGAATTTTTTACATGAAGGGGTTTTGGGGTTTTGGGGTTTTGGGGTTTTGGGGTTTTGGGG